AGCATATTCCTTAAGTGTGACTTTGATTTTGTTATTTAGATTCTCTAAAAAAATTATTTACTTGTAATTCCATCCTCTACCATCCATTTTTTTTTACTGCCACTCCCAGTCAGAGTGTAAGTGATCATACTTCTCCTTTTCTTTATGTTATGTGAATTGCCAGGTATTCTTGGGAAATATAGATGAGTGGTTTCCTGTTGGTTTCTAGCGTTCGAAATTCAGAATTTTCCTTCTGTTAGACTGGTTGCGACCCAAGTCTGGAGATTTTAGTTCGCTTTTTAATCCATAGCTGGGAGGGTAGCCACCATACAATCTCTCTTATTCTTCACCGCCCCATGAATTCTTAAATCGCCAACATCACTATTCTTGTAGTTTCGGGAGTGGTTATTATTAAGTAAACCTGGGAATGTTTTCTGTTAATTCACCCCAAATAATGTAAAAAAAGTTACTTATCGCAAATATTAATTCATTCCAAGAAATTATACATTTTAAATCAAAGTTTGTTTTTTTATTAAATTTTTGGCAATGTTTTGAAGTTATAAATTTTAAATCAAAATAGCTTGCCTCCAACCCTCAGAATGAAAAATTACCAAAAATCAGGGAGTTTCGTAAGTGCAGATGATATTCGGTGTACTTACAAGGAATGTTTTACAATTTAAAAAAAAAAAAAAGAAGAGAAAAAATTGTTTTTGGCTTGTTAATGGAGGTGTGTGTGAACGTCGACTCCTCCACACTTAGAAATAGCGCACATGAGTCGCCCATATTTGAGGCGATCGCAAAGGTCAACCCAACCAGAATGCAATAGAAGGTCCTCACTCTGGGAGAATTTGATGTGAATTTTAGTAAATATAAATTCTTTTTATTTTGTGGTGAATTAATATTTTGATGTGACTTAACAGAAAAGATCCAAATCTAGTTTATTTCTGTGTTAATACGCGGAAAATGAAACTAAAGAAAATGGAGACGTGGATAAACAGAACCATTGCTGTTTTTCTTTTTACAAAAGTACTTAGAAGGAAATAAAATAAAAATGTTTACAAAACGACATTTTTATTATTTTCACTCTGCTTAAATTTTACTTGCTGACAAATGCTTGATGCATTTGTAAGTTTAGGTGCGACCTCAAAAGAGCAATGGTTGAAGAAAGAGGAGAAAGTGGTGGAGGTGGGGGGGAGAGAAAAGGAAAGAAAGGGAAATAGAGTGAAAGAAGAAGGAAGTGAGAAGTGAAGAGAGAGCGGATGTGTAGAGGAAGAGAAAGTTCAAAAAGTATTTTGAAATTGAAAGTATTTGACTGAGCAATCAGTCAGGGAAATAAGCCAATGATGTTGTGGGAGTTTAGTCGACATTGATGTATGACCCAGAAGAATTGGAATGAGCTGTTTAACAGAAACGACCAAGTGTAACCTAATTAGAAATGAATGTCGCCGACATCAAAACTCTTCTTACGTCCTCTTTCAATCAATTCACTTGTGAACAGAGAGAAGGAAAGATGTAAAAAGTGAGAGGAAAGTATGACGCATTGCTTTAGAGCAATGATTCCCAACGTAGGTCGTATGCTCCACTGGTGGGGCATTGTAATATTTTGGTGGGGTATGCGTAAGAGGTGCACCGCCCTTCGATTTACTATACTAACGTGAGCTCAAATTTCATTTTGCATTATTATATTTCATGATTAAAATGATCAAAGTATTATTACATAATAATAAGCTTTCATTCAAATATTTTATATTTCTGCCTTTCAGATTCTGTTTTGAAACTTTAACTCAAACTGTCTATTTGTTTTTTTAAATTGTTCTCTTACTTTCATGGACGCCATGGTCTTTGGAGGCTTGTTTAGAGACCAAGTTAATGACCTTTAGCTTCCTTCACATGAACTACAGTAAAATTTTGAAATTTCAGAATTTTAGAAATACCAAAGTGGGGCATGTTGGGAACCATTGCTTTTTAGAGGCTGAATATATCTAGTCTTCCATTTTTTTTTTTTGGCTTTTCAAACCTGTGTTTCTCACTGAAGTTGGGTTTTCATAAAACTAAAATAAAAAACAACAGACATATTTGTTTCGTTGTCATATCTAAAAAAAATCTAAAATAAATAAATGAATTCAAAGTGTCTTAAAATGTAATCGATCCTGAGCTGACATCTCGACTTCAGTCACTTTCTCACTGTCATGACATGGCTTTCCCTCTGTCTTTTCTACAAATATTTTCTTGTCAATTGTTCAGATGAACTTTCCTTCAGGTGCTTCGACTGCATGAATTGAAACCTGCTACTAGATTGGCAATTAGGTCTCACCGTTTTACTGTTGAACTAGCTAGATGCAACTGTCACTTTCTAATTTCTTTTCTCATACTTCTCACCTGTGGCACTCTTTTCCGGTTTCTTGCTTCCCTGTAACTTAAAATCCTCAAAAATTGAAATGTTTCAATCTTCTTGAAGCCTGTTTTGTTATTGACCTTCTCCTCACTAAACTCTTCTCATTCCCTTTCACTCCCTGCGTCCTGGTGTCATTATTGCCTTGTGTGGGGTGAAATGATTAAAAAAATTATATTTTACCATCTTCAGTCAGAATTATACAGATTAAAGCAAATTTTCTTTATGTGATGGATGCACTTGTTTTTCCATGTATCATGTCCTTTCAGGACATAGGCGATCATAGCTCTCCACAATTTCCTGCACTTTGTAGCTCTTCTTAGCAAGCTTTGTCTTTTCGCTGTTCTGCCAACCATTTACACATTATTCTTCTTCTTCTTCTATGTACCTTCTCCCTATAGCAGATAAGCAATCATAGCTCTCCACAATTTCCTGATGTTAAACTACATCCGCGTCCTGGGTAAGATGATAAACTATGTCCAACAGCAAAGCCTCTGATCAGGAGGTTTTGAGGAGCGTGGAACCACTTCTTAATTGCTGGTGTTCCCAAGTCCACCCTGACCCGAAGTGGTAGCACTTGTTAGGGTCACAGCTATGGGCAAATAGTTAACTATTACCAGCAATACTTTTTTGAAAAAGATTATTACCAGCAATACAATTTTGAAGAAAAAATATTACCAGAAACAAAATATTACCAGCAATAAAATTTTGTCGGCATTAAATAACCCATTGACGTTGATATGTTGTAAAACAAAATAAAATCAAACCACAATTTCCTGTCCTTTGTAGCTCTTAGTAAATTTGATCTTTTTTCTATCTCACCTAACCCCTGTTCTGCCAACCATTTACACATTTTTCTTCTTCTTCTTCTTTGTATTGTGTCCATTCAGCATATAAGCAATCATGGCTCTCCACAATTTCCTGTCCTTTGTAGCTCTTAGTAAATTTGATCTTTTTTCTATCTCTCCTAACCCCTGTTCTGCCAATCTTTTACACAAGCTCATTAAGGAGGTCATGTGCTGCTTTTCTCTGTCCCTCTTGTCTTGATTAGTATGTCCTGTCAGTGTCAAATTTTCTAAGCCATCTTTCCTCATTATGTGCCCGAAAAATTTCAATTATCTCTTTCTGATGATATTTATAAGTGTTCTTTTTTATTCCATTTTCTCTAAAACTTCATTGTTGGTCACATGTTCAGTCCATGGTATTCTCAGTATCCTTATATTGAACCACATTTTGATTGCCTCAAGTCTCCTCTGAATCTGTGAGTGAATGTAATTTATAATAATATCAGTTCTCCTGTATGGCAGTAAATGCCGTACATTCACTGCCATACAGGAAGACTGTATTACATAACAGTTCAGTCTGCTTTTCTTTGTTTCTAATGATATTTTCCTGTTTCCTAATACTTTGCTTAGCTTTTAGGTTTCAATGTCACACATTCTGTCCTCCATTGAAACACTTTTGATATCTTTAATTTGTTATACGCATGTTGGGCCTTTCCTTTTGTTGACAACTATATATTCTCTTTTCTTACAATTGATGTTTTGTCTTTTCCTCTTGCTTTCTTTTACAACCTTCCGGAGGAGTTCCTGCATTTTTCTTTCTATGCCATCTTTCAACACTGTGTCATATACATAGTTCATGTTAAGATTGTGGCCACCAATAATGAATCCTGGTAGGATTTCTGTTTCTCTCAGAACCACCTCACTGTAAAGGTTGAACAAGTCTGGTAAGAGGACAGCCTTGTCTTACACTCACTCCTTTCTATTTTTGTCTTATGATATCAATGAATACTTGTTGTCACTTTTGTAATGCCCATTGTAGTAGAGACTTTGTAATTGCAGTTACAGCTATAGTAACGCTGTTGAACAATGCTGTGTCAGACGCCTTAAATATCACTCGCACTAATAGTACTTGTTCGATAATACTCGCTCAAATAGTAATCCGTATAGTGATATGAATAGAGGAATAGTATAGTGAATAGAGTAGAGAATAGCAGTCTGTATAGTAATAGAGGATAGACTAGAAATAACGATCTGTACAGTAATAGAGGATAGACTAGAAATAACGATCTGTATAGTAATAGAAGATAGAATAGAAATAGCGATCGTTAGTCGTCAGTTACTTTCTACATATATGGGTTTCATCTAAGGTCACGTGGTCTACTTAATTCAATAATGGGATCGCCTGTGTTTGCTCACTGGTGATCTATGTTCAAACTCAAGTGTCGGCAGTGACACTTTATTCCTATATAATATTTTGTATAGTTACTGAATCCATTTTCTATCCATATCTGGATTATTCTAATATCATTTCAAATGTGTTAAAAAAATAAAAATAAAATATATAAATAAGAAAATAAGAATTCAAATTAAAATAAGGCATTTGTACTTTCCTTTAAAACACTTTATATCTTCCTTTCTCTCTCTCTCTTGAAACTTCTCTCTATATGCTTCTCTCTCTACTAACGAGAAGGCAACTCTCAAATAAAAAAGAGGAAGAAGAAGTAAAAACTGAAGCTGTCCAAAAAAAACAATGTAAGCTTGTTGGACCAGAGTCTAGCCATTTCTGACTAAAAACTACCAAAAATCACAGAGGCTCCACACATAACTTCCACTATATATAAAAA